CACTGCCTCCAAAAAGATTTAGATTATTGATTACTGCTTTGCTGAAGGCCCACACTTTCCAATGTCTTCTGAATGGGTTGATTATAGAATGGTAATGTCGCTGTGAGATATTTTTGGTAAGCTGAAGACAAAATCAAAGCGGCAAGTTGAAAATAACCCATCAATCTACTCATCCTGTCATATTTCTTGGTTATTTTTATTCTTTATTGAGTTTTAACCATTCCTTCTCTCTTCATCTCTCTCAACATTTCTCCATAAGCTGATTATTTCTTCTCTTGAGATTGGGTTTCCAGATTGTAAAGATAAACCAAGGGACCGAGGAATATTCAGCAGTTCAGTCAGATTTTAAATAGGCAGTGCAACCTCAGGAAAACAGAGGCTGTTGGGCCTCAGATTTCCACATCAACAGAGTTAGAGGATGGAATGAAAACTGCAGTTGTATTATCTATATCTATATTGTCTATAAGTGTATTGGTCTGCACTTTTTTCAAAAAATATATATACATGTGAACAGGTCTTCAGCTTAGTTCATTGACATTTACATTAGATTTTTTTGATAGACACATTGTCTGCTGTTAGAGCCTGCTGGAACAAATTATTTTATGAAGACAGGTAAAATATTTCCAAATGAAAGAATTTCTGCTTTAACCTAAACCTTATTCAAAGTAGACAGTTAGATGTACTCCCAATGGAGTTGAACGTTAATACTTTCATTTTACACATTTCTTATTAAATAGGTGCCAACATTGTGTTCAAGATGTTGTCTCTTTATTTCGAATCAATCTATAAAAACATCAAATAATGTGTTGGTTGTAATAATAGTAATAACATCATGACTCTTTTACGAATGAGCACCAATAAGCATTTTATCTTGAAGGAAGCTTACATTTTTGCTGTAGGATTTGAGACTGATAAGATATAAGATGAGCTTGATAGTGTTTTTTATATGTACAAATAATCTTAATGTATTCTTTAACATCAGTGATGGGACTAACAGCGTTACTAACGCCGTTACCTTGTTTTAGTAACGAGTAATCTAACTAATTACTTTGACTGTAACTATAACGCAGTTACCATTGCAGACACCCCGTTACTGCGNTATGTCATAGCAGCTCCATCTGGCCTGGTACTTTGTTTAGCTGTAATACCATCCTGGAGGGAGTATAAGCTGGGCTACTGCTGTCCACAACAAATCTGGATAAATTTGGGTCTGTTTTTGAGTGTTTTAACCTGTTTTTCTTCTCAACATAGCTCATGGCCTAAATTTTTACTTTGCATCTCATAATTTCTGACATGAAACTGGCTTAGTGATCATCTGCTTAATTGTTTATATCCTAGACAGAGCCACCTGTGGACCATTTCATTCTCTAACACACAAAGTATTTATGGATCAGTGCTTTTCTGTTTCTTTTCTGCTGCTGTATCCTTGAATTCCCAATTGGCCTTGGAGGCCTCAGAGGGCCACTCACAGTGACCCTGGTTCGCCTGAAAGTTTCTTCCTGCTTAAATGAAGTTCTTTTTCCATTCCTTTGTAGCTGCAATCTCACTCCATGTGAGGGATTGCTGTGGAGTCTATCACACAATGCAAGTGATTATCCAATGTCCATCTAGGGAGTGGAAAACCCTGCAAAGTGAATGACTTGATGCAATAGCTGTGTTTTCTTGCATAAAAAATTACTTAATCTGACTGTATAATATGATTGAACTTTTCTCTAAAGTGCCTAAAATATTATATCTAGAGTTTGTTTTTTGTCATTTAGAGTTTAACCAGAGCACTTTGGATAATTGTTGTGCTCTGTAACAACAGGTGCCCTACTACTATACCAGTAGATGCTGCAATTACCACCTACTGCAAAGATAACTTTTTTCTCAGTTTGTGAAAATTGCACTACAAAGAATCTGAGCCAACTAGTTGATAATACAGAATATTATCCATAGTACACCTCTAAAAGGTATCCTTTCTCAAAGAGCTATGAACCAAAGTCAAAAATAAAATGTAAAAATAATAAAGTTGAGTATGAAAGAAAAAAATATTGATGTCAAAGTTGTCTTTGTTTGCTAATTGATCGCCCCGTCCCACAAAGAATGAACACTGAGAGCGTATTGGGGAAAAATAAACTCCTTTGTCCCAATTAAGGGCTAAAAAAAATCAGTAAAATTGCTTTTCACATGTTTACATTTACACATCCTAGACCTATTATGACATTGATTGATAAAAGCACATATACAATAAAAGTGCACATGCTGTTTCTTTGCACCATTGTTGAAGATCTGCATCATACAAACACATTTACATGCATTTTAAGACATGCATACTGCAGCATTTGAAGATCAAGCCTTAATATTGCAAAAATACAACTGCTGCTTAAAATTGTGTAAAAAGCAGAAGTTATGAAACTGACCGGATAAGACAAATAACAGATAAATCAATGTTCTGTTTTTAAGCCAAGCCTTTACTACTGCTTTTAAAAACAGCCTGACAAAACATGATCAACGGTATAAAGTAACAACGTGCATTTATTTCATTTCTGGACGTAAGTACTTTTTTGATTATATTTAGATTACTTGACTTTAACTTTCACTCCACTACATTTCAAACTCCAAAAAAAAAAAAATATATATATAATCATAATAATGATTGAGCAAATTATATTTCAGATTTTGTTTAAATCTAAATTATTTTCTGATCCTAATAAGTTATACTGATCAAGAAAGTATTTGTATAGACTAATAAAGATGTAATAGTGAAATCCTAAACAAATAGTAGTATACTTCAAAATTCTTCTTGATTAATTTATGATTAGTTAACTATTTAAAAGGAGATATGATGTGTTTAACTAAGAATACCCAGGAGTTTTTTTTATTCTAAGGAGTACAAAATAATATTTTGAAGCAAACCACTGCCTCCAAAAAGATTTAGATTATTGATTACTGCTTTGCTGAAGGCCCACACTTTCCAATGTCTTCTGAATGGGTTGATTATAGAATGGTAATGTCGCTGTGAGATATTTTTGGTAAGCTGAAGACAAAATCAAAGCGGCAAGTTGAAAATAACCCATCAATCTACTCATCCTGTCATATTTCTTGGTTATTTTTATTCTTTATTGAGTTTTAACCATTCCTTCTCTCTTCATCTCTCTCAACATTTCTCCATAAGCTGATTATTTCTTCTCTTGAGATTGGGTTTCCAGATTGTAAAGATAAACCAAGGGACCGAGGAATATTCAGCAGTTCAGTCAGATTTTAAATAGGCAGTGCAACCTCAGGAAAACAGAGGCTGTTGGGCCTCAGATTTCCACATCAACAGAGTTAGAGGATGGAATGAAAACTGCAGTTGTATTATCTATATCTATATTGTCTATAAGTGTATTGGTCTGCACTTTTTTCAAAAAATATATATACATGTGAACAGGTCTTCAGCTTAGTTCATTGACATTTACATTAGATTTTTTTGATAGACACATTGTCTGCTGTTAGAGCCTGCTGGAACAAATTATTTTATGAAGACAGGTAAAATATTTCCAAATGAAAGAATTTCTGCTTTAACCTAAACCTTATTCAAAGTAGACAGTTAGATTTACTCCCAATGGAGTTGAACGTTAATACTTTCATTTTACACATTTCTTATGAAATAGATGCCAACATTATGTTCATGATGTTGTCTCTTTATTTCAAATCAATGTATAAAAACATAAAATAGTGTGTTGGTTGTAATAATAGTAATAACATCATGACTCTTTTACGAATGAGCACCAATAATTTTTGATGTAGGATTTGACTCTGATAAGATATAAGATGAGCTTGTTAGTGTTTTTTATATGTAGAAATAATCTTAATTTATTCCTTAACATTGATACCTTAGGGCCCTGTCACACCTTGCCGATTTAGCCAGCATATGCCTGACATCCCAGAATCTCCTAAAACACTGGCAGATGCTGAACTTTCTATGTATTTTTTTAATTTTGGGCGTATACATAGTGTATTCATAACAAGCCCAGAACTCATGTCCAACGACAGCCTAACTTATGCATAATGCACAGCAGCGTAAAGCCCATAAAATTATTCACAAACATCACTTCATGGGCATTAAGAAGCATGAGTTAAAGTATGAGCAGCGATGCACCCGGAGGCGCCCGGTCTGCATAAAAAGATTTATTTGATCGCGGTACTAACCTGGCTGTTGTTTGCCATCCATCAAGAAAAACAATAAATAAAAAAAGAAAGAAAGAAGGTTTGCAGTCGCAGCAGATTCAGCATCATGTCTGCTAGGAAGTTTCTAAGTCATGGCCATGGGCGTGATTGCAGGGAAGATCCATCACACTCACCTTCTCGCTCACACTATGATGTGGATGAAGTCCGGAGGAGAACTGATGGTTTTCCTCCTGTGAACCCCTTTTTATACCAAAATGCTGCCAATATGCTATTATACAACAGCTGTTAGAAACACGTTCAGCAGTCCTCTATAACACGTCAGATACCTTGATATACGTTGGAAATAAGTTTTTGAAAAGGTAACTATAAGTTATGCACAAGTTAATCATAGGTTTTGGATAAGCTAGACGTCACAACCTAATAGTAACTTACACTTAATGTGTGTAAACGATCAGATAAGTTACCTGTAACTTATGGCCCGCATACTACAATACGCTGGCATACGTTGGGAAATTTTGAGCATGTTCACAACTTCTCGACGTACTTGTCGTATGTCGACGTGCTTTAGGATTTTTCGTACGTCAGGTATACACTGGTCTAAATCGTCAAGGTGTGAAAAGAGCTTTGGGGACACATTTGGAAACAATACCCTTAGAAACCCACCTTGGAAACAACAGCTTAAAAAATTAGTTGATTATGCTTTAAAGTCTTGTTCAAGTCTCGCTCCTAGATAAGCCTTTTATATGTTTTTCATTAGCAATATTCAAAGAGGTTAAAATTTTACAAAAACGGTAGGACAGTTTGTTCAACCTTCATCCTACTTTCCTTTTCTCTCAGCAAACACTGACCTGAGGTCCATATGTTCCAGCAGGGGCCCAGCAGCTGCACCTAGCACCCAGACAGTGAAGCTTATCAGAAGTAGAGTGGTGGTGAGGATTGTGCGCTGTGCTTCTGTCGATGTGTTTCTCACAGCCAGGCTAAAAGAAATAGCGCCTCTTAAACCTGAGAACAGATTGGAAACAAAGCTAATTTCAGAGCAAACAAATTGATTCATGGCAACTGTTAAACAATCATTCTAGAAACAAATTACTTATAAAAGGCTGCAAAAAGACATCTAGATAATAGCGCTATAGAAGGGAGACATTTTAGACCCGGGCCATGAATTACTTTACACTTGTTGGCCAACATATTGTTTATATTGTGTAATAAAATATCTAAAAGCAAAACATTTTCCATTGCATTTCCTTTGGGAAAAAAGAAGGGTAGGTGTTAGTTGCTTTTGTAGGTAAATTCCCCAAAAAACTGTATGATAAGGGCTTTAAAGAGAAGCGTTCTTACTTAAGTAGTAAAGTAGGTCAGGCATGCAGACGTACAGGATGGTGCATCACTTAACATCAAACATTTCTTCCCTTTCAGTCTCAAGATTACATGAAGCACTGAAATAGTACTCTCTATGATGCTTATATTAAGCTGTCTATTTATATACATTTATTTTGATCAGACTTAACAAGCTATGAGTGAAAAAATAGAAACATTTATGACTCTGAATCTATCCATTCAACCAGAACCGCACTCAGGAGCAACGGTAATAAAATATTAAAAGCTTAAAGTAGGTGCTGGCGTTTGTGCCTGTCAAACTAACTATAAAGACATTGTTTTACACTTATTCCACATGGGACATCTTCCCTCATCCTCATTGCTTAGACTGTTAGCTGCAGGCCCTGAACGATGGGATAAATCAGAGAGGAAGTTTCCTTTTTTTCAAACGTTGTGCAGAAATAAGATCACAAATCCAACCTTTATGCCTCCAGCACTCCCACTTGTAGCTATGCTAGATGCCAAAAACCAGTTAGAAGTCGGAGAAAACAGTACCTGCAAATACCATGAAGTGTTGGATGTTGCGAGATATCTTGTTCCTACGCCCCAAGTTTATAAGGAAAGACAAAGGATAGATGTTGCAGGCTCTTGAAATAAAGATAGATAGCTGTAGGAATTGAATATGGTTAAGGAAAATGTAACAAAATTCACCTGTGAAAAAAAGAACAAATGAGTTACTACATGGTTTAATGCTTCACAAATTTGCAAGGCTTTATAGTGAGTTAGCACTTAGTGGTAAAAAAAATAAAAAATAAAAAAAAACATTCAGAATACCTCTACATTAAACATGTATTCTGTAAATATTGTCAAAACGTACCGATATAAGTACAAGTTTCACAATGTTGTGTATTTTGTGTGAAACTGGTCATTTTGGTTCATAACTATTAAACATAGCTCAACTTAAATAGCTTTTAAAATGTAAAAAAATTCAACCTTTTGAAGAACAATTTTCTGTAAACATCAATATAATCTTACTGTTCATTGTCAGATTTTTTTCCCCAGAATTTATTTATTGTTTTTGACATGCTGTACTTGATCTTGACCACCAATTAATGTTGAAATCTGATTTTCACAAATGTAAGACGAAAAGCTAGCATAATAAGTAAGGTCGCTCTATGAATCCTTTTTATTTATCTTCTTATTAAACCAAAGGCTTTCTATTCTTCTAATGGTAAATGGCCTATAATTATATAGCGCTTTTTTCAAGTCGGGACACTTGAAAAAAGCGCTTTACACTACATTCAGTCATTCACCCATTCATACACACTCACACACTGATGGTGGCAAGCTACATCGTAGCCACAGCTGCCATGGGGCTCACTGACAGAAGCAGGGCTGCTCTACACTGGCGCCACCAGGCCCTCTGACCACCATCAGTAGACAATGCAGGTAAAGTGTCTTGCCCAAGGACACAACGACACTAAAAGCCGGAGCTGGATCTTCAACCGTCAACCTATCAATTTCAGGGCAAAATTGTACATCCGACGCCACTGTCTTCCCAATAATAGGTACATTTAAAGCAATTTAAGTAAATTTTTACAATTTATTCTAAAAAAAATATCCTTTTTTTTTTACCCTATCAAGAACAGTAATAATAGCCTTTTGGGCAGCTAATATTATCTGTTCATTTAATATGTATAAAATTACAAATTTTAGGGATTTCAGGCCAGTCTGAATCAAAAGACCATGGGAAATTTTTGGCTGACAGTGGAAAGACAGCGTCATATTACACATGGATATGAGTCTAATAAGGGCGGAAAGGCTGGTCTATAAAGAGAAAAAAATACTTGGCAAAAATGTCCAAGGCAAAAAAGGTGGGAGGTAAAAATTTTGAGAGCACCATCCCAACTGAAACATATAGTAGTGGCAACATCATGTTGTGTTGGTATGCATAAAAAAAAAAAGAAAGAAAAAAAGAATACATGTTTCAACGCAAAACAAATAATTTAAAATCATTTCAAAGGTCTAGTCTGATTTAATGAGAGACACTTTTTACACAACGTATGAAAACACTATACAATATTAATATCATATAATAATACAATATCTAAACATTGTGTGTTTATAATATAAACAACACAGTGTGGCCTCTTACTGAATCATGAAACCAATCAGGTGCTGCCAGCTGTCCCTGCTCTAGACATCCACTTTGATGTTGCACACAGGATGGGAGAGAATGCTAAGTGTCCAGAGTAGTAATACGGAAAATGATAGGTGGGCATTTATTAGTGCTACAGCTGCCATTTTTTGACACATATAATGTGTTCTATCACATTTTTGGTAAAAACTGCAATTGCCATCTCCTGACAGTGATTGAAATTCTGGTTTATACCATCACATCTGCAGTTTTGCCATTAAGAGGACACAGCTAAATGTGTTTTCAAACAGTTTAATCTTTGATGTATGAGCACCATTTATGCAGACAGGTAACCTTGTTTTAGATTCAGGGGGAATAGAATTTAATCTTTCTCAAGGGAAAGTCAAATGTGATACAAGAAATAAAAACAGCACCAATATCTACAGCAGGGAAGGCTAATATGACAGAGCTATTACTAAAACAGAGTTCCCTCGCATCCTGCAGTCAATATTAAATCTTATGAACCCTATGGAATTTAAAAAGCAATATCCTGCTCCCAAAAGCAGCCATCTCTTTTCTTCAAAGGCCTTTGAGCTATTTGAATGGAGGTAATTAAGCACTCTTCTCAGCTCCATTTCCAATAAAGTCAATCTCCATTCTCACCGGCTAAGGCTGGAAGCTGCAGCGATTAAAATCTACTGAATAGCCAAAGAGCGATTAACATGGGGTGAATGACTCTGGTTATTTCGATTTTATAGATACGTTTACGGCCCTTCAAGATGACTCTGACTTCCATTTCTTTCTGTTTGTACAACTGGGCCAGTTTTGCGGGGGAAGCGGATTGGGAGATCTTGTGTGGATGTTAATATGCTGGACGGTTAAACTCATTTTGCACGTTTTCCTCCCCACAAGCTGCTGAGGAAAAAAAACAGTGCACTGAGAAAGGAATCTGCTCAGTCCATGTTTCTGTGGCCCCTTTGACCCTGACCTGGACGATGAACTATAACAATAATTACTGACAGTCTGAGCAGTGGACTGTGAAAGAACAACTCCTTGGAGAGCAGCCACTTACAGTAAGCCTGTTTTCTGGCATAAACTACTTTAATGTCAGCTCCAAAGAAAGGATGGCTTTGCAATGGACAGCCATTCAGCAAAAAAACCTGACAAACTACAACAGCAGTGTGAAGTATGAAACTTATTTTATGATATTTAAAATTTGCCAAACTGGCTTTTTTCACTGTAAACATTAGGTTTTTAAACAGGTCTAAACACTTTAGCAGTTGACCAAATAAAATAGTTAACTGGGTAAGCAAACAGCCTCCCAGGGTTCCCAGTCATCCAGTGTTTCCCAGCATCCCAAATGCAAGGCACTTATTTCAAACTTATTGTAGCTATATCATCTAGACCAGGGGTGCCCAACCAGTCGATCGCGGTCTACCAGTCGATCGTGGGCGGAGTTTCAGGCGATCGCGAAAAGTTTTATAATGTAGACCTATTTATGGCGATGACAAAAAAAAGCTTTAAAAAACACTAATCAAATCATTGATCACGAGAGGCCAATGTGTATTTTCATAATAATAAAATGAAAAATAAAAAGTATGCAGGGAACCTTTTTTATGCATGCTGATTACTGGGCATGGTTTGCCACAGTTGCTAGGTTGTTACCAGGGACTCTAAAGTGCGAAGAGGAATCTGAAGAGATAATGAGATAATGACATCTATCACAACTGATGGGGCTCCATCTATGGTTGGGCGCACTGCTGGATTCGTTGCTCTGTTCAAGCTGTCTGAAACTTTCCCGGATTTTTGGAGCTACCGCTGCATCATTCATTAACAACAGCTGTGCGGCAATATTTTGAATATGAAGCATGTCATGTAGGTTGCGATGAAGATCGCTTGCTCTGTTCGGGCCAGGAGTTTTCAGAGGCGTTTATTCTGTGCCCAGCTCGAGAAGGCAGGTGCAGATCACACTGATCTGCTGCTGCACACCGACGTCAGGTGGCTGAGTCGTGGTAGATTCCTGAAAAGATTGTTGGAACTTTTGCACGAAATTGAAGAGTTTCTGAAACAGTCAACAACCCATTCTGCTGTATGTTGCATCTTCACATCCACATAGTTTGTACATAGTATTTTCCTATTTTTATCTGTTTTCCATCGGCCAGTTTCTCTGCCAATGCCCCGAGAAGTTTATCATTCTGAAATAGTGGACTTCCCTTCTCCTTCTTCCTGCTTTGAAGTGATCTTAGTCTTAGACAGATTTTATTTGGTTTATTTGGTATTTTGTTTACACAAGTGTAAAATAAAAAGACATTTATTTTGGAACAGCTCACTGAACAATTTCATCTTTTTTTCAAGTGCAGCCTTGAAAAGTAGTAAAAAAAATTATATATATATATATATATATAAACAGTGATATAAACATATGAACATAAACATAAATTTACAGTTGTAACGTTTTTTTCTTTTTCCATCTCTACTGAACTGTGTGTGTATCAATTGGTTTATTTAGATTTTTTGACTGCACAGCCTTTGTCTGGATATCTTGACTGCTCTTTTCTGTAGTTTTGGTGTGTCTGATGAGTGAGTGAGAGTGAGAGAGAGATATGGTGTGAAGTTCTTATGAGATTGTTAAGTTCTGTTTTTGCAACCTATTTTTTGACACAGTTGATAATTTCCTTGTTTGTTGGACCTACTGTTTATTCTCCACCTGTGCAAATAAAAAAAACAAATACTGCCCATCCCTTGTCTTTGGCTTGGTAGATCTCGGCATGCCATCAACTTCAAAAGTAGATCTTGGTTTAAAAAGTTGGGCACCCCTGATCTAGACCTATTATTGTAGACCTGTTTTCAAGACCTCTACGCAAACAGATCAACTCTTCCTATAACTCACCAGGTTAAGCCCTTCCACTAACATGGTTTAATGAGCTGTAAGACGAGGGGCTTATAAACAGAATGCTTGTATGTGTGAGACATGTCTTTCCAATACACAATGGGAAATATACTCAGGTAATGAAGAGGCTAAATATAGAAGAAGAGTTTCCATTACAAATGTGCATTATTGAAATCTGCAAATTTCAATAACGCACAGTTATGCAATTTCGGTTTTTCCATTAAATAAGAAAAGCAATTAAAATTGCACTTCAATATTTTGGTTCACACAATATCTCTGAAAGCAAATGGCAGTGACGAATGTAAACACATGCGATATATCCATATTTTAGCCACAGCTCTAGAGTATACTTCAGCTGCTTATGATCTTCTTCTTTGACATCTTTTTTCGACGAGGCGGTAGATTTTCTTTTTCAATTGGAGTGTTTCCATTTAGAGGATTTATTTTCACAATTATAATTTCTGCAGTTTGATGGTAAATGGAAACGCAGCAACTGCCTTCACAGGTCTGCCTAGAAAAATCGATGATACCACCGCAGCTGATCCAGAACGCTGCTGACCGTGTTCTCACTAAAACTAAGAAAGTGGAGCACATCACCCGAAAGTGGAGCACATCACCCGAAAGTGGAGCACATCACCCGAGTTCTTCCACATATGTTCAAGAATAGACTACCGGTAACAGAATAAATACTTCTGTTAGTCTATAAATTGCTGAATGATTTAGCACCAAAATACATTATAGACAACAATCCAGACCTCTTGGTTCTTCTGCCTCAAATCAACCCTGCATACCCACAACCAAACATGGAGAAGCAACATTTAGTTGCTAACTATGCTCCACTAATTTGGAATAAAATCCCAGAAAACTGTAAAAGTGCTTATATCCTAAACTGCTTTAAATCAAGATTTAAAAGCTTTTCTGTTTAGAGAGTTTTGATGGTGTTATCTAAACATTATAAGTTTTCATTTTTTTCATGTCATTTTATTATTAATTTTTATAATCATTTTATCACTTATTTGTATCTATTAATTATTTCATCCCCTTAATGCCACTGTAATATTTTCTCTATTGTTTCGTTTTTCATGTACAGGACTTCTTGCTACTGAAATGTGCTTTATAAATGTCTCTTCCCGTCTTGCCAAAAGCATCTCTTTTCTCTAATAAGACGTATTACTTCAAAGAATATTAGAATTATGGACTTTTTTCATAACAAATTAATTTCAAAGAAAATTTTTAATTCACTGAGCTATCAAAGGAAAACTAGCAGAAATAATTAACCATGCGTAGTTATCTGTGCTTTCTAGTTAAGATGTAATGCAGGGAATACATTTGCAGAATTTAGTGCACACCAACAGCTGAATGCCATCTGTGCTATTAACCAATTCAGTGCCTTGCAATTCGAGATTATGTTTTTTATGGGCTGTTAGGATGCTGAGGATGTCAAACTGAAAACAAGAAAGATGACGCAGCCACTGTGTACAAAAAGGGATCGGACTTTAAGTATAGCAGACGGAGTGAGATCAAACAGAGCGAGTTCTGACTGAAATCCAGAGGCTGCACAGCAGGAGGTGAAGAAATTTCATGGCATAGCAGAAAAGGATACAAATGCCCCAGAGATGAAGAGAGCTCTGAAGGCATGGTGACGAAATGTAAACCATATATATCCCATGTAGCCGAAGATGAAAATCTCCCCAAGGAAGTTGAGGACTTCAAAGAGCTGCAAATTATAAAAAAGGATTAAAAGAATCTTTAGAGAGAGGGTCAGAAAAGAGGAGAGGGCATAATTCTGACAGTGAGTGTCGCTGTTTGCTGGAAAATAATATATATATATATATATAAATATATTGTTGTTTTAAAATTTCCTGGATGCAGAGTTTATTGTCGCTATAATGCACAGTGCATCATTCAGCGGTCTTCTGCAGCTACTGTAAATGTATCAAAGTCAGCCAACATCCTTGTATCAAACAAAGTTGCTGTATAAAGCCCTCCTAAAGTAGTTTCTTTGAACAGTCTTTGCTTCAGTGTTCATTAAGATCAAATATTCAGACACCAAAAGATTTTAGTCAGAATTTTGGTGTCAGTGGTTTTCAAGTTGCAGCTTTCCTCCACAGTATGCAAGTCAGTGTGCATCATGCAGTATTCGGGCAAACGGTTGTGAAAAGGAGTGAAGGACTCCTTACAGAATTAGTTTAAATTTGAACAAACAGCACAAATCCACATTTGACGTTATTCCCTTTGAGGAAGCAGCTGCAGAAATCTGCTGCCTGAGGGCACAATGCTTTTTGCATTTTACAGCTGAGTTGTTTAGTCTTTCTTTGTTCTTGGTCAATACCCACACAGTTTGACTTGTAATATGTGGGTCATCCGAAGAAGCAAAAAATAAAATAAAAAATGGAGCAGATTAGACCAAAAAAAAAAAAACAAGACACATTTCTGTGTGCTTCTACACTTCATCTTGTCTTTCATTTATTTCTGTTAAAAGCAAATCCAATTTTGAAACTTTCCCTTATGAAACTATGTGTTACATTAGAGCTGATATCTGGAGTTTCTTACCTAAGAAAACCTTTTTTTTTCTTTTTAAATAAAGCCAGTTTTAGTTTAAATCTTTCAGAAATATCTTTCCATCTAAATCTACATTATATGCTGCAGGGAAAAGATATGTCTGACTAGCTTTTCAAATAGTCTCTTTGTACTATTTTGTTTCAGCTGGAGCTGCATATGTAAAACATGAAATAACAGATACTGGCATTCTGCCAAGTAAACACACTGTTCTGTACAAATGCGTAGCCAATCTACTATGTAGTGAGGTCTTCAATTGTGTTACCTTTTAGAAAGCTCTTATATAACAAACAGTCCGACCTTGGCGCTGATAATGTATAATAAATGCATGGATGAGACAAGGAGTACACTTTTGATTTATTTGTTCCACTGTGCAGCTAAGTATATCAGGAGCACAGGCCCTCCGTCTGTGCTGAGCTTTTTGAGCAGATAAGGTGGAGGGGTTGTCTCCCACACAGACATCCACGGGTTGACCAGAACACTAATGGCAACAGATAAATGGTTTAATGTCCATAGAGAATAAAGAGAGGACATAAAAGGGCACCTGAATAAGGAACTAAAAAAAAAAAAATGTTGCTTAAAACTATAAGTAAGATTAGCTGGAGTTATCAAATCCAAATCTACCTGTTTAGTTCTCGTCCTTCCCTCGTGTGACAAATTTAGAGTTGTGTACTTTGCTTGACTCAGGCCACAAAATAAAACTGCAACAATGCCTGAAAAACACAAAAAAAGAAAATGGTACACATTAAGTTTGAAAGCTGAATCGAACTCCTGAGATTTTTTGAGAAAACAGGTGCCAGAGAGCCTCAAGACAGTTTATTTTGTGTTTTATTTTGCACTAGGTTACACATTTGCACAGCATTCTGTGGTTTGACAAAAGTTGCAATAAGAATCAGATGGTTTTCTTGCTAAATTTATAGAATAGGAAAAGTTTTCATTTTAAGCCATTAAATATAGCCAGTTACAGCTCTGGCATGTCTTATCGGCACAAAAGAATTGAGCAGAAGGCTGCATGACAAATAAAAGACAAAAGACAGACATGATTAATATCCTCACAAGATGTCAGGTTGTAAAAACACGGAGACTTCTATTAATGTCATGCTGTATTAATGTACTAAAGATTAGATGAGAGTCCTAACTTCACCTAAAAGTCTCACTGACATATATATATATATATATATATATATATATAT